GCATAGACTGCCGCACCATACCGCACCCAACAAGGACTTCCCCGATAATTCGTTTTTCTTAGGTTTGTGATAACATCGGTGAACACATGATCGGTAACGTATACGTGAAATTTGCTAGAGAAGAGGATGCAGAAAAATGTGTAAAAGCATTGGATAATAGATGGTGAGCGCTTAGAGTTTCTAAGATTTAAAATTTTTTACTACTACTTGTTTTGATTATTACTTATATTTTTAGGTTCAACGGGCAGGCAATTTACGCTGAATTGTCACCTGTTACCGACTTCCGAGAAGCATGTTGCCGGCAGTACGAACTTGGTGGATGCAATAAGGTCAGTTTTCGTCATTTTTGGTTCACTTTTCAGAATTTAGACCAATTTGTTATTTGTCTGTTCCGGCGTTTGATAGGTAGGGCTCTGAGTTTTCGGCGACGCGTATCCTGCAAGTAGCTGTGTCAAGGCCATACGACTTTTTTATCACTAATTTCGCGTGAGAATTTTGTTTGGTTGGCGTTATTTTAGGAGTAGGAAAGAACGGCAAAGGGGTAGATATGCATGTTCTGTAAATTGTCGTTTGAATCCATCACTAGTGACAACAGTTTTGTGGGCTGAGGTCTTCGGATGGACATCCTCCCAAAAAGAAGTTACCAGTTTTCCATGACTTGTTGGGCTTTCTGAAAGGCATACATTCCAAAGTACACCAAAAACCTCACCACTGGATCGATGGATGCCCTGCAAATTTTCACCTGTGTTTGCCACATCAATTAATCCTTTGCTGCCCAGTCTTCGCAGTTCAGCCCAGATTTTGGTCCAAACTTTTCCAAGATTGCGTTCTTCTTGCTAGTTTGACTACTGGACACAAACCTGCTATCTGCTTAACGCGAAAGCGCCCGGTAATCTTTACAGATAAATCTAAGGTCACATTCTGGCGTCGTAATTAAAATTCCTGCACTGGCGACGGCTCTCGTAGCATGAGTTTTCGCGTCAAACAGGCGATTTCCTTGTTCCAGGGGTCAGATTACTTCCTTCCTACCCGGACAAATTACAGCTAGATGCGCCGCCGATCTTAGCGGCAGCTGCAGGCGTTCTCATGTTAAGCGGCTGATAATACAACCGCGGCTCAATATCACTTTGGGAATAAGAGCTCGGTGAGAAGTCAGGACCACCCGTTAAAACGCGTCCGTTAAATCCAGCTCATGGAGAAATGTGGTTACTAAACTTGCCCTGTGAACTTCCGTGATCAATTTCAAGTAAGGTGGGACCAGCAAGTGCTAAATTTTCCTACCCTCGTATGAATAGCTTAAAGGCGCGCTTGTATGAACGGAACCATTCTTTAAAAAACCCATCGTTAGTCCCTCGGGAGCGTATGGAGGTTGCACTGGATTCGCAGCTCAAAAATACGCCAGGAAAACAACCTGCTGTTCGCGACGAGGTCGCGGCTTGGCAAACTGGCCTTGGCGACGCCCAGCTTTTATTTTTAACTGCTACCTGGTGCTGATGTGGTTGTTCCGCTGCAAAGTCTGCATATCGAATGGTGAGAGTTAGGTGAGCTGGGATGTGCGAGTGAGATCTCGCCCGACCATGCCTTTTCTACAGCGTTTCACACATACAACAGCGCTTTAGCATGGCGTTCTGCATGGGGCATTTCAAGTGGGTTTTAGTGTTTTTACTTCAATTTTGTATTATTTACCATCTTTTCATCGATCTTTGAGCTACACAAATTAACATTTTTGAACGCAGGGCGTGCCATTAAAGCTGCGTCTTTTCAGGGTGCATTCTGTAACTTCATGCACTTGAAACCAATATCCAGTGATCTTCGTCGTAAACTGTACAAGGGACGCAAAAGAAGTCCACCAAGATATCACGGTGGAAGAGACAGGTATGTTAAGGCTACTTTTGCTTCTTACTTTGTTCGGTCAAAAGCCAACGATGCGCTTTTGATTGTATGGAAAACATAATTTTCATATTTCGAGTCAACTGGTTCAGAGATCGTGAGATGCGTGGAGGACGAGGTGGCCGTGGTGACTTTGGAGGTGGTCGCGATTTCGGCGGTGGTCGCGACTTTGGCGGTGGTGGAGCTGGCTTTGGAGGAGGAAGAAGAAGGAGTCGCAGTCCTCGTAGGCGTTTCTGATTGGAATGCTTGGTGATTACATTGGCATTGTTCTATTCATTTGATGTGACTCGTGCTTAGAATGATTTTATCTGATAACAAGTTTCTCTTCCAATTTTGTACACAGCTGGTACGATACTATTATGAGATCGTTACCCATTTATTAAGTCCTATCTTTGTATTCGAATCGATTAGGTGTTTCTCATCCGAAATTGTGTTTAAAACTTATGTTCAGCGTCCTCGATCCTTACAGTGTTATGAATTGTCGTTTATCTTTCATTAAAATTGATCTTCCTGTGTTTATCCTTGAACGATAAAATGGCATTGTTAAGGGTTTCTTTTATAGATGTTCAAGGAGTATCCTCGTTGTTCCTCGCCATTTGAGTGATGAATCTGGTTGAGTAAGTGGCTTCTTACAACACAAATAGGCTACCCATGGACGCTTGCTATTTCGTGTGAAATCTAGGACCCGAGTCAAATGTGGGCAGGGGGAGGGGTGTTTGTCAATAGCTGCCAATGTACCAGATCATTTTGTGAACACTTGTAAACTCTTGTAAAACTCGCGCAGCGTTGGCAAGCGGTCCGCCGTTGCCGTCGATAATGGCTGATACGCCACTAAACTGATTTCTGTTGTTTTCAGCTTCTAAAAGGTGAAGTTGTCCTTCGTCCAACCTCAACAAGGAGAGGTAAGTATGTTTTGCTGAAGCTGGGTTTCATTTTGCGTGGTTTTAGTTAATAACATTGATGTTAAACGAGACATTCGAGAGAAGTTCAAAAAGTGCGGAAGTAGAAATTTTTCTTTTTTTTAAAGATAAAGCCATGCTAAAATTATGCAAAATGTAATCTAGTCTCAGAACATACTCAGCCTTTCCGAATTGAAAGGGTCGAATAAAAAGAGCAACAGCGATAATCGCCGCAGGCAGCCTCTACCTTTCCATCGGCACGCAACACCGTCGGACCGCTCGCCACCGTGGTCGTAGTACCGCCCCACTGTCGCATGAAAATTCCACCGTTGTGGGATGGGAGGGGCAGGTGTTTACAGAATGAATGGATACGCTGATCGTAGAAATAAATGAATGAAACGCCCCCACCCTTCTTTCGACCAGGGCTTAGGATATAGAGTAGCGCCGGCAGGAAACAATCGTGTTATTCGTCGCGCTGCCCAGGGTCACGTGAAAAGAAATGCGAAGCTAGTAAGTGGCCTCGATACAATGTATAACCAAAAAATAGCCACTAATGCGACGATGTCTAATCCATCAAATCCGTTACTGTCCCACTCACCATTATGCAAAGTACGAAAACGCTGTGCGCATTTGCGCGGCGGAGGGAAGACGCAGCGAGTTGTCTGGCTTCCGCACCAGGTGAAGCCGGTGTCTAGACGCAATTTCCTTAGTAGGTGATGCGCCAAGGCATTCCCGTTTCTCAAGTCGGAATGCGATAAGAATCGACGCGTTCTGGGGAGAATGCGCGGCCTCAGGGTTCGGACGTTGGGGCCGGGGTTGCCAATTCCAGCGGGAGTTGCATTTGGTCGGAGGAAGGAGGGAAGGGGACGTGATTTTTATGATGACGGTTTTTAGGACGTGATTTTTGTGATAGTTCTTCTTTTTTCCGTTCCGCACACGCTACTACACCGCTGAAGATCCCAATCGGGAAACGTATTTGTTTTTTGGAGAAACTTTCTAGACTGCTAGACCCTCACCCTTCTCCCTTTGCGCAGCAGTTTTTTTTTGGAGAAAGTGAAAAATTCTTTGAAAAAGTGGTAGGAAGTAGGGAATAGTAAGATGGCAGATAAGATGGAGAAAGGTGGGGTCGTACCGGAGGAGGTTATTTGGGAGAGTCCTGTTTTCCCAAAATTCTCCTCTCGGCAGGACGTGTCTTGATTGATAGCCATACACTTCTTTGGCTCACATTCTTCAGAACGTCGATTCGACAATTCTCGTGTCGCAAAGTATAAACTCTTAGCGTCGTTTCTCTTGGTCTTTTTGGCCTTCTGAGCTGAAGTTGTATTTGTTGAGGTCTAACATCTATGTCCAGTTTTACGTCGCTGTGATGTTCTTTGTCTACAGGAGATGAAGCGATGCTTACTAAGGCTAAGAACCGCATCAGTAGGCCGAAGGGTTAACGAAGTAATGTGGAATGTTTTTTGTTACTTGCTTACTTGCATGACTTGTCAAGCTTTTTGTCATTTTATCTGGAGGCTAGTCCGCTACAAGGGTTTTATAAATACTTGCCAACATAGGACTCTTTTGGGGTTCTGCAAGGTCCCATGAAGCCAAAAATGATGCAAATTCGCAAACTTATTTTGTCTGAAAACATAGCATTTGGGCTGGACCAAGATGACTTAGGATGGGGAGGGGGCTGGGGGAATACAAGCAGTTGTGAATTCAGTATTGGTGACTGATCATCAAACACAATGTCCACTTTTTGCTCATAGGAAGTGTTTTACCCACTGTTCGAGCAGAAATTCCCGTTCATTGACCCACAATATCTCCTTTGCATCTTTCTGCACTAAATGCTGTATTACCTTTTCGTCCGCGTTCATGCTTCACCATTCGAACGATTCGCAACAGACTGCGCTCCACTGCTAATTGTTGGACCACTGCGAAGCTCAAAATAAATGTTGTCTTGACGGTGCTCAAATTCTTGAATTAAGCCATTTAGTTGCGGATTTCGTAATCTGTTTTGAGTTACGAATTATGATAACAGCTTGTAAAAGTTTACAGGATTTCATGGAACTGCGCGATATGTTCACATAAGTTTACCTAATCCTCTCTCCTACGTAGCGGACTGGCTCCTTCATCTGTAGAGCTTACGCTTCTTTTTGCAAAAGCGGCTTCGTCCACTAATGAACTTCAAATTGGACATTTTTGAACGTGGTGGTCGATGTCCTCTACTTAAAGTTCATGCGCTGACGAGACCGTCCGATGTGCCAAGGCAATTTTAGTTTAGCTCCCTTTTTCTCGTCTGTTCCTTGATCGCGCCACTGAATAATGAAATGTTTTGATTGATGACTGTGTACCTTCCTATTACAGCAGGGTCTCCGGTGTTGCACTTTGGCGCAACCCATACAAAAAATGGTGCAAGTTTTATACGGGTTACACTGTTCCAATTACGGGCAGGCATCATTTCTTCTCAATGAATTTCGACTAGAAGGAAAAGAACGTTTAATGGTAGGCGAGTCATTTCGTACTTATTATCTTTTGCTTCTGAAGCTATTAGTGATCGTTTAATTTTGTAATTCAATAATAATATTAGCTTGAGTTGTAAGTTTTATCACCATTCATTGTTTCCGTTATTGAGGAATTTTTTGAGGGCTAGTCGACAAAGTAACACTGTAATCGGGCAGAAGAGGTAAATAAGGGGCTTGCAGAACTCTTAGTAGTTTCTTAATATTCGCAGTGAGTAAGAAAGAGATTCATCTGAGATCCAAAGCATCTGAGTCACTGTTCTGTTTTTTTTTCGTTCTGCCGTCGGAACAACCGAAATTTACCGTCGAGTACGTAAGAGGAGGAGATTCCACACTGCACGCTGTGAAACGTAGGTTTTGAACCGTTTTGAGCTGGAAACTTCGACACCAAAGAAGATAAAACAGCTTTCTGAAGTACTGGACGAGAGACGCAGTGGAGCAGGAGCTCAACAAGGGAACCCGATGAACCACTCACCAGTGTCGCTTTGTACTTCTCAGTCGTTCATCGAGCGTGGCCAGTGTACAAGAATGTGGAGAGTGCTTAATTACTTCTGCCAAACGAGGTTTTAGATGAAACCTTTTATTGGCCGACGTTTCGACCTTCTCGTCTTCTTCAGAGGCCTGAAAATGGCTCGAAGCTTTTAATTTGTCACCTACCCGATCAAGCGCCTTCTCCACTGATCAGGTTAGTGACAAATTAAAAGCTTCGAGCCATTTTCAGGCCTCTGAAGAAGACGAGAAGGTCGAAACGTCAGGCCAATAAAGGTGTCATCTAAAAACCTCGTTTGGCAGAAGTAATTAAATATTCGACATCATGCCGAGGTTACAAGAAGGGACAACTTGGAAATGTGCAAGGTAGTTTTGTCCCATGCGCCTTATCGCGGAGGAACGAAATTGCCTGGGTCGTCGACTGCTACATGGAACTTCCAACAAAGCACGGGACCTTGCTTGGGTAATTTAGCTCACTATTACGTGTGAATCATGGAAGCAATAAGTTTTTTCCCCACTCTATCAAGCTGGATTACAAGACTACGTCAGAAGTTTTGGATCAACGACAACAAGAGAAGATTTCACTTCGCATTAAGTGAAGTGTTCGGGAGGGAGAGCGTTGCGAACTCTCATCGTAACGGCAGAAGTCCAGAAAAGGCGTTCACAAAAAATGAAGTCGAGGCTTTATCAGACTTCGCACTGAATAAGTGAGAAACTCTTTTAGCACGACAGGGCTAGACTCTTGTCGTATACGATGCGCTGGAATTTTGTGGGAGTTTTCATTTGAGGTGGTTGTCTTCCAACGGATTCCACCAGAATTCCCATTTTGCCCGTTGAGAGACCAATCCTGATGAACCAGGGAAGTCCGCCAACTTACCATGGAACTTTGAATGGAGACCTGGGTAGATCGATAGAGTCTATAAGGTTATTTACAAATATAGATAGCAAAACTGCAACCTGCATTTCACAAGCAACTTATGAGCAGGTAAAGTTTGTAATGGTGCAGTAGGGTGGAGGCTTGGTGGTGAAGCATAAGCGAGGAATCGCATACGTCGAATCGAGTCGTGGTGGTTCAGTGGTAAGGTTCGACGACTCGATTCGACGTATGCGATTCCTCGCTTATGCTTCACCACCAAGCCTCCACCCTACTGCACCATTACAAACTTTACCTGCTCATAAGTTGCTTGTGAAATGCAGGTTGCAGTTTTGCTATCTATATTTGTAAATAACCTTATAGTATCGATCTACCCAGGTCTCCATTCAAAGTTCCATGGTAAGTTGGCGGACTTCCCTGGTTAGTACAAGCCCGGTGAAAATCGCGACAGTACTCTTTCTGTCAGAGCCAGTTTTCTCCTAAAAGGAGTAGGATAATGAATGTGACCTGATATATTCCGAAAGGTGTAGGACTTTAGTGATGAACACCAGGGTAAGTAAACAGTCTTTGTTGGCCATAAAGTTATTAGGTTCTAATTAAAGTGATCGCTGGTGACAAGGTCTGCTCGTCAGTTTAATAGTTGATTAAGTTGATTATAGGTAGTAGCAGATTTTGACTACACGTTTACTCTGCGACGTGGAGAAAATGGTGAACAGGGATGCCTTACGCATGAGGTGTTCGATGGTAGTAAAGAAGTAAAAAGCACTGGTTGCACCTTTGGTATTTTGGTGAGTTTTTAATTTTACAATTTCTTACCATGGCTGAAGTCATATCTCATGTTCTGTCGCTCATGTACAGCGAAGATTTTCCACTAGAGAAATCGGACTTGAGAAGGGGTAACGAATGGGCATAGGGAGCCTCGATAGAACTTCCCCACCCTTAAATGAAGTACCGCAAATTTTGAATTGTGTTTTGTCTTCCCTTTTTGCTTTTTTCTTTTCTTGATCACAATATTGAGCGAAGCTTGTCAAGACCAACGACCGTCTTAGCTTAGCATTTACCAAGACGAAACGGCAAAGCCTTTGGATTTGCCGTTTCGTCTTGGTAAATGCTATGCTAAGACGTGTTTTTCTTTTACAGCAACTTCACATGGGTAGTGGGATATAGCGC